CATCGTCATCATCATCAGCATCATCATAATCATCATCAGCATCATCAGCAACAGCATCAGCATCAGCATCATCATAATCAGAATCAGCATCAGCATCAGCATCATCACCATCATCGGCATCGTCATCATCATCATCAGCATCATCATCGGCTGCAGCATCAGCATCAGCATCAGCATCATCATCGTCATCATCATCAGCATCGTCATCATCAGCAGCATCATCAGCATCAGCATCAGCATCATCATAATCAGCATCAGCATCATCATCATCAGCAGCATCAGCAGCCGCATCATCAGCATCAGCATCAGCATCAGCATCATCATCATCAGCATCAGCATCATCATCATCAGCATCATCATAATCATCATCGGCAGCAGCATCAGCATCAGCATCATCATCGTCATCATCATTAGCATCGTCATCATCATCAGCATCAGCATCAGCATCAGCATCATCATCATCATCATCAGCATCATCATCATCAGCAGCATCATCAGCATCAGCATCAGCATCATCATCATCAGCATCATCAGCATCAGCATCAGCATAAGCATGAGCATCAGCATCAGCATCATCAGCAGCATCATCATCATCATCATCATCATCATCATCATTATCATTATCATCGTTATCATTATCATCATCAGCAGCATCGGCAGCAGCATCAGCATCAGCATCATCATCGTCATCATCAGCATCGTCATCATCATCAGCATCATCAGCATCAGCATCAGCATCATCAGCATCAGCATCATCATCATCAGCAGCATCATCATCATCAGCATCAGCATCATCATTAGCATCAGCATCATCATAATCAGCATCAGCATCATCATCATCATCATCATCGTCATCAGCATTAGCATCGTCATCATCAGCATCATCAGCATCATCAGCAGCAGCATCAGCAGCATCAGCATCAGCATCACCATCATCAGCAGCAGCATCATCATCATCGGCATCATCATCAGCATCAGCATCATCATCATCAGCATCATCATCAGCAGCATCATCAGCATCAGCATCATCTCATCAGCTCATCATCAGCTCATCGCAGCAGCATCAGCATCAGCATCAGCATCAGCATCATCACAGCAATCGTCATCATCAGCATCATCGGCATAAGCTATCAGCATCATCATCAGCATCACAGAATCACATCAGCATATCATCATCAGCATCAGCATCATCATCACCATCATTCATCTCAGAATCAGCATCAGCATCAGCATCATCATCAATCAGCATCATCCGTGCAGCATCATCATCATCATTAGTCAGCAGCAGCTATATCAGCATCAGCATCAGCATCAGCATCACCTCATCATCGCATCATCATCATCAGCATCAGTGAAATCTCAGCATCATCACCATCAGCGATCAGCTCAGCATGTCATCATCATCAATCATCATCATCAGCAGCAGCAGCAGCAGCGCATCATCATCATCATCATCATCATCATCATCATCATCATCATCATCATCATCATCATCACCACCACCACCACCACCATCATCATCATCATCATCATCATCAGCATCATCAGCATCATCATCATCACATCAGCATCAGCATCATCATCAGCATCGTCATCATCATCATCATCATCATCATCATCATCATCATCATCATCATCATCATCATCATCATCATCATCATCATCATGCGCCTCCTCCTCCGCCTCCTTCTCCGCCTCCTCCTCCTCCTCCTGCTCCTCCTCCTCCTACGGGTGAGTGGTACCCCTGCTCCTTTCCTGGGCCGCCGCCCACACAGCCCGCCGCCGCCGCTCGGGGGGCCTCTCGCCAACGAGGGCCCGCCGCCTCTTCGGAGGTCTCCTTGGTTTTCCTCTGGGGCCCCTGGAAGCCTCAGGAAGGCCTCCGGGGGTACCTAGAATAACCAGCCTCGAATTTGCTAGCCCTAAGACCACGAAGTCCAAGGCGATGACGATCTTAGGGATGTGCCCTCAGAAGCTGCAGGAATCCTGAAGATCGGCAAAGAGGTGAGGTAATACCAAGTGTAGGGGCAAGGAAATGCTTCACTCTGGCATAAGAGGCCTCTGCGGACCCAAAGAGGCCGAACGACGCAAAAAAGGAAAATTTTAAAAATAACGGGACGCAACCGGGGGAACCGCTGGCGGATCCTGGGACAACCGCCCAGGGCGTTTTCCACTGCCCGGCCCCTTTAAGCTAAGAGAGTAAGAATCCTTCTAGGCAGAGCCTAGATTGGGAATAAAAAAAGCTTCGGGAAATGCTCAAGGAACAAGTCTGGGGCATGTGCCGCCTGGCAACCGTGCGCGGGAGGGCGAGGCAGAGAGGCAGCAAACGAGGAGGGACGCACGGGCGGGAGGCCGGGGCTGGCGGGGCAGAGCGGACGGGCGGGCAGGCGGGACGGGCCACAGACGGCAGGCAGGGGGCAGGGACAAGAGGAGGAGGGACGCGAGCAAGGGGCAAGGGAGAGAGGCAGAAGCAAGCAGGCAGAGAGCCGGAGCGAGGGAGATCGGGGATCCGTGGATCTGGCGCGCGGGCGCCAGGCCCGCACAGACCGGGGAAGGCCACCCCGTGAGGCGCGAGGCCAGTGCAGCGCCACTCGGCGACGGGGCGCGCTGCTGCTGCGCGGCGGCGGGGCCCGTCGCCGATCCGCGCGCCCCCGTCCGTGCAGCCGTGGGCCTCCTCGCTGGAAGGGCCGCCCCCTGCCTGGGGCCCGCCGACGCCGCGCGGCGAGCACGACGGCAGGCAGGCGCGGGGCGGCGGCGGCACCCCCGCTCGGGCCGCCGCGGCTCCTCATCCGCCTCTTCCGCAGCATCGGGTAGTTCGCCGCCGCGCACAGCGCGGTGAGGACGGCGGACAGCTCGAGGAGCACCTCGGCGGGGGCGCCCGCCCTGCAGCCGGGAGCGGAGGGCCCCGCGGGGCCCCGCAGGGCCCCGCGTGGTCCCGCTTCGGGCCCCGCTCCCCGGCCCCTGGGGGAGCCTCCGGAGGCCTCGGCCTCCAGGGCCTGCAGGGACCTCTGGGGACCTCCGCAAGGGCACGTCACTTCGCTTCGCGCTGCGCGAAGCGCGACGCGCGAGCAACTTCGCGCGCTCGCGCCGCCCCCCGGGGTGAGAAGAGGAGGAAGAGAAGGGATCGGAGCCGAACCGAGAAGCGCGAAGCGCGAAAAACTTCGCGCCCTCGGTGGGGTGGCTGGGCTGGCGCTCGCCCGGCAGCGTCCGTCTACTGGCACTGGCAGTCCGACGGCGCAAGGGCCTCGGCCTGGCTGAGCCGGCGGCCAGAGCGCACGGCGCACCACGGGTGGGTTCCCCCGCCTGCGGCTTGCCGCCGCGTGCCCGGACTGCGGCGTCGGCAGGAGGCCCTGGGCGTGGGGCCCCGCCACACACCCCACCAGGACTCCTGCATGGGCACGTGCCACGGCCTGCATGTACCAGGACAGGAGTCCTCCTCGGCGGCCGCCTCCTCGCGCCTTCGGTCCCTCTGCTGCGTGGGCGCAAAGGGCAATCACGCTCCCCGCTGACACCCGACCGCGTGTGACCGTGACCGTCGCTGCTCGGCAGAAAGAGTTCAAGGATTCTGCCTCTCAGAATCAGAATCAGAAGGCGGGATCGCACCTCGGGGAGCGTAGGCAAAAACACACTACGGGCAGAACAGCACCAAGCAAGCCCACTGCTCGCTGACGCAGCTCGACCTGCTGAAGAACGTCACGCCCATCCGAGGGAGAAGAACGGAGCAAAGCAGAGTGAATTATGGCATACGCGCCTGGCATCACGTACTACAGTGCACAGCGGACTCTCATCTTATAGCTACGCAAACGGATGTAGGACAGGTCATGCTCAAAACAGGACTCTCGCCTGAATGGTATGCCCATCTGGCGCTCGCAGTCCCAGGGGAGGCATCCTGTGGTGAAAAGGAAAGCTTGTAGGAACTCATGAGGTGTCTTTGGGACGGGAGGGTGTACTGCAGCGCAGCATCGTTGATGCATCCTGGGTTTACTCTGGTCCACCTCCTCCTCCTCCTCCTCCTCCTCCTCCTCCTCCTCCTCCTCGCCTTCTTATTCCTCCTCGCCCTCCTCCTCCTCCTCCTCCTCCTCCTCCTCCTCCTCACCCTTGATCGTGGACGCAGCTCGAAGGACGGGCCAGGATGGCCCCTGGGAGGTATCCGGGTGTCAACTCTGAGCGGGCCTTGGTCGTGAGGGCGTGGAGTGCCCACTTCCACCGATGCCGGCCATGCCAAACCTGGGCCACCAAGTCCCCGATCGAGCACTAAGCCTGGTCCAATCCTGGACGCCGACGGGATACAAGAAACAACAAATCCGACCACGGGCTCCCGATGAGCGTATCATCCTCCTCCTCCTCCTCCTCCTCCTCCTCCTCCTCCTCCTCATCATCATCATCATCATCATCATCATCATCATCATCATCATCATCATCATCATCATCATCATCATCATCATCATCATCATCATCATCATCATCATCATCATCCTATTCATCCTCTTCCTCCTTCTCCTCCCCCCCCATCCGACCCTGGGCCCCCGATGAGCATATCCGGCTTCCTTCCTCCTGACCAGGCCAGGCCAGCGCGCGCGCCAGTCTTGAGACCGGCTGCCTGCACGCGTTGGTTCGTTGATTTTGGGGGCCGCCAAAGCCCCGCCCCCACTTTGGACCGTCGCCACGCCATGCTATGTCATGCTACGCGTTGATCTTCAACACCATGCTATGCCATGCAATGCTGTGCCATGCTACGACATCCGACTGTGCGCATATCGAGGAGCTCTACGCCATGGTAAGGGATGGGAGGGAGGGGTAGGACGTCAGATATGACGCGAGCGCACCTAGCTTGTCCTCCTCCTCCTCCTCCTCCTCCTCCTCCTCCTCCTCCTCCTCCTCCTCCTCCTCCTCCTCCTCCTCCTCCTCCTCCTGGCCAGGCCAGGCCAGGCCAGGCCAGCGCGCCCGCCAGCCTTGAGACCGGCTGCCTGCGCACGGGGACGGCTCGCGCCCCCCTGGGGCACCGCGACGCAGGACACCACGGCGCTGCGGAGCACCAGGGGCACCAGCAGGAACGCGAGAAGGGCCTCGGCGACCGAGAAGCAGCAGCCGCACAGGCACTCCGCGTTCGTCTGCGCGAGCGCGGAGCCCCGGAAGCTCTGGCGCGCGAGGTAGAGCAGCGCTGCCAGCACCTGAGAGGGCGCCGGCTGCTCTCTGCTCCCGGCCTGCCGAGGATACTAAAGGGGCCCCAGAACACACAAATAAATACACACAGATAAAAATATGCCCCATAGTTTCCCATATTTTCTGGGTTTTTGTCTTCCCCCCCACTTCCCATATTTCCGCATATTTTCCTTGGGATCGACGATTAATTGTGTCTGTGTTTTTTCCCCTCCTGAGACACACCCAACCGGCTGCTTCCCACTGGGAAACAGGACCGAAGACTCAGACGGTCTGACGTCCCAGGGGCCGCATCCTGCAGTTGCTCGCAAGGGAGAACCAGAGTCGGCCGAAAGCAGCTGGAAGGCACCCCGAGGCTGGAAAACAGCCGAGAACAAACGAAAATACTTGAAAACCTGGAACCTCGATTCTGGACTTCTTTGGAGGAAGGAGCGCGACCACCAGAACTCGATGCCTCCGCTACGTACCCATTGCGAGTCAAAAGAATATCAGGCCAACCTGGAACGCTGCACAAGCCGACATGCCATAGCCAAAATAATGCAGAGAAGCTTGGCCTGAGAGAAACTGCACCCACAAAAGGGACAGCAAGAGCTACCCGTGGCAGGTATTGCTGGGCACTTCGCGTGCAGAGGAGGAGGAGGAGGAGGAGGAGGAGGAGGAAGAGGAGGAGGGGCCCAAATCGCACGCAGCCCCTGCCCGCGGCCGGCTCCCCTCCCTTAGCCGCTCTTCCCTCTTCCACTCCGCGCCTTCCTCCCGCCCCTCACGCAATAACCATGGGCGTCTGCTTGGGCAGCTGTGCAGCCAGCGGCGGCTGCTACACTGGGGATGGAGAGCGACGTGAGCGTGGGCCGGCTGGCCTGCGACCAGGGGGCCATGAGCGACCTGGAGGAGGACGACGACGACGTGATGGGCGACGTCGGGAGGGGAGAGAACGATGACGAAGACGAGGTAGCGACGGACCTCGCCAAGGACGTGGAGAACTTCCAAGGAGCGGCCGGAGCCACGCCTTCCAGAGCAGCTCATCTTGGCGGCGCCCCCGGCGCCGCTGCCGCTTCGGGGAGCGCCGCAGGCCCCGCCGCTGCACCGCCTCCCGCCGCTGCCGCCCGCGCGTCGCGCGCCGAGCGCCAGCCGAAGGGTGGCCGCGTGGACGGCGAGGCTGAAGCCCGTCCGAAAGCACGTCGCCATGTGTTACGCTTGCTGTCAGCGTTTCAGTCACAAGGAAGTGCGGCTGGCGAGCCGCGCGAACCCAGACCGATACTTCTTAGAGGAGAGAGAACTATGCACATAAACCGACTCTGGCCAGGCCCATCTTGAGCCCAGGATCGGTGCATACGCCCTCCTGCCTCGGCCAGGAAGGCACACGCACCGATCCTGGGTTAAGGATGGGCCTTGCCAGGGCCGGTGCATGTGCATGGTTCTCTTCGCCCGAACTTCTGGCACCCAGCCTGCATCCCAGGAGGCATCCCAGCAGGCACAGTAGACGATCTGGCCGGATTGCCCGAGGAAGCTCGCTCGGAGGTCCTCGCGCGCACAGTGGACGGCGCGGCGGCGCAGCCGGGCTCAACTGACGGACCCTCGGGGGGGGCCCAGAACCCCAGCGCGTGGCCGCCGCCGAAGCTGGCAACCTCCCAGGCTTGGCGCGGTGGGATAATACGTTCGAGCTCCAAGGCGCCCTCCGCGAGCTTGTGCCCACCTGGACGGCTGCCCAAGACAGCCTTGCAGTGGCCGTCGGCGAGCTGCTGGGCGCGGCGTCGAACGCGGCGGCCGCAGACCCGGCCCGAGAGGCCGCCTGGACGCGCCTGCTGCTCCTGCCGCGCGCGCTCTTCGCCATCCCCCCTGCCGGCGACGACCAGCATGCGGACCGGCCTCCAGCCCCGCGGGTGATCGACGCCAGGATCTGGCAGGCATGGGCGAGGGACTGGGCGGGCCTCTGGGCGGCCACAGCGCGCCCTGGCGACACTGGCGGCGAAGGCAGCCGGCGGCCGCCAGACGCCGCGACCCAGACCAAGCGGGCGCGCGAATTCATCATGCTTGGCGAGGTGTCCCGGGCTGCTGCGGCCGCGAGCGGCCCAGGGAAGCTCGCCGCCAGGGCGGAGGCGCACGCCCGCCTGGCTGGCCTTTCCCCGAAGGCCCGAGCCCCGCGAACGCCGCCGCCACCACAGCACCTGCCAGAAGCGCGGGAGGCCAACGCTGCGGAGGAGGCCGCCGGGCACCTGAACAAGTTCCCGCGAACTCCCGGCCGGGCCTCACGGGGGCCTGCTTCGAGCACTGGGCAACGCTCCGTGGGAAAGCCGACGGGAAGGAGGCGCCGGCGCAGGTGCTCGCCGTCATCCTGCGTGGCGAGGCGCCGCCGGCCGCCTCGAAGGCGCTGCTGGGCGGCCGTCTAAACCCGTTCCAGAAACCAGGCGGCGGGGTGGGACCCCTCGCCCGCGGAGAGACGCTCCGCCGCATGGCGGCGAAGGCAGCAACGACGAAGCATAAGGAGCTCATCGCCCAGGCGGCGGGGCCGCACCAGCACGGGGTCGGTCGGCGCAACGGCGTGGAGGTCATTCACAAGCTGGTGAACTGCTCCGTGGAGATGGCCCAAAACAGCGCAGGGTTGTCACTCGATGTGGCGAACGCCGCCTTCAACGAGCTCGACTGGGACGTCGCGCTCCGGGAGGTCGCCCAGCGCCTTCCGCCTCTCGCGCGCCTCGCCTTGCGCGGCACGGCGGGGGCGCCACGCACGGCGCCCACGCGGCCGGAAAAACAGCAGAGGTGACGGCGAAGCGCGGCCTTGAGTAGGGCTGCATCCTGTCGCTGGCCCTTTACGCGACAGCCACGGCGAGGCTCTACGAGGAGCTGGCGGCGACTGCCCCCCGGCACGACCCGAACGCCCGGGCAGTGGCCTACCTCGACGACGCGTTCGTCGTCGGCGCGCTGGCGGCGCTCGTCGCGGCCCTCGCCAGCGCCCCGGCCCACCTTGCAGCGCGCGGACTCCGCGTGAACGCCGAGAAGATAAAAGTGTGGAACCTGCGCGGGCTGCTACTCCCACCGAGCCTCGCGGCCGCGACGGCGGCCGACCTCGCGCGCGCGGGCAGCCGCCTCCCTTTCCTCTGCGGCGGGGCGGCGGCGGGAGACCTCGGCCAGGACCCCGCGGGAACGAGCTTCGGCGCGGCGGCCGCGCCCGAGTCGGCGACCCGCCACTTGCGCGCGTTCCTGGCGAGATTGGGGCACCTGAGCGAGCACGGTCTTCGGCTCCGGGACGAGCACGTGCTCCTGGGCAAGTTTGTCAACGGAGCCGACCTCCACCACGCGCGCGTGCACCTGCTCGACGAGGCCTGGCCCCGCGCCTACGACGACCTGGTTTTGCGACACGCGGAGGGCGCGCTGGGGCAGCCGTTCACCGCGACCGCGCGCGAGACGGCCCACCTGCCCCTGGCACGCGTCGGCCTTGGCTGACACGGCTTGGAGCAGCGGCGCATGCCTGCGCACGTGGGCGCCTGGCAGGCGTGCATGGCGGAGGTGCGCCGTGAGCTGGGCGAGCCTAGCCTCGAAGCCTTCGCCGCCGCTTGCCCTCAGACGTGGGCGGCGGCCGAGCAGGCGGGGCTGCTGGCTGGCGCGAGCGCTACTAGCGCTGGGTCTGCGCCGCAGCGAAGCGCCTGGAGAAGGCGCAAAAGCGCCTGGCTCAGCTGGCGCAGGAGCAGCGGCGCGCTCGCCTGCTGTCCTCCCTGCCCGCGAGCCAGGCCGCCAGCCTCCGCTCCGCGGGCGGCAAAGACGCGGGCGCTTTCCACCTGCCCCCGACGCGGCGGGACCACCTCCTCGCCGACGAGCACATGCGGCCTGCGCTCGCCCTCCGGCTTTGCTCGCCGCTGCCCGAGGAGGCCGGCCCTACGCGCTTGCAGCGGAGGCGCGACGGCACGGCTTGCGGCTGCGACCTGCGGGCAAACCCCGGCCACGCGGCGGGCTGCCCAGCGGGCGGGCTGGCCATCGACAAGCACAATGGCGTGCGCGACTGGCTGGCCGGCTGGCTGGCTGAGCGGGGCGCCGCTGGCGTGGCCACCGAGCAGGACGTGCCCGCTAGGGACCGCGCCCGCCCGGATGGCGGCGTGGAAGCCGCGCGCCTCGGCGTGGCGTTCGTCGACCCTGTGGCAGGGCGGCAATACGTCGACGCCAGAGTCACCGACGCCGCGCTCGGGGCAGGCGCGGACGCCGGCCGCAGCCCGCGCGACCCGGGACGGCGCCGCGGCCGCGGCGGCCGTTAAGAGCGCAAGCACCAGCGCTACCTGGTGCCTGCGCTGCACGCCTTCGCCCTGGAGACACTGGGCCGGCCTGGCAAGGAGGCGCAGGCCCTGCTGCGCACCTGGGCCGCCAAGGACCCGCAGGTCCTGGCGGCCGCGCGGCAGAGCCTCTCCGCGACACTGCAGCGCGGCAACCCGGAGGCCTGGCGCACGGCCGCACTGCCACAAGGCGCCGCGGCTGCCCGCCGCGCACCCTGGCGCGCCGCCTGCGCGGCACGCGCGGCGCGCCTGAGCTCGCCCGTTCGGGCAGATGACCGCTGATAGCGCGGCCAGCAAGCGGGCCCGTTGCGCTGGCTGGCAGGCGGGGGCCGCGCTGCTGCTGACCACCGCCGCTGGGCGGGCGGGCGGCAGCGCGGGGCTGCTGCTGCGCGGGCTGGCCTGGCAGGGCGCGCTGGCGGGCTGGCGCACTGGCTGACGGCGGCGCGGGGCGGGGCGGGGCGGCGCTGCGGGCCCGGCCGCGGGCGGCGGGCTGGCGCCTGGTGGTGGGACCGCAACGTGGCGCTCGCCCACATGGTCCCAGGCAAGCTAGCTATAGGCCCTGGCCGGCGCACCCCTTCCTCCTCGGGGGCGGCTCGCCGCCGAGCAATGGGCCGCACCTGAGGTGGGGGGGTTGCGCCGGCTCCCAATTGCAGCGCTCCGGCCGCCGGAGACCCGCGCGCGGCGCAGGAGGAGGAGGAGGAGGAGGAGGAGGAGGAGGAGAAGGAGGAGGGCGGAGGAGGGGAGGAGAGGAG